GGTGTATCCTTTGCATAAATACTTTTGTGTCCCTCTCTCTCATTGGTAAAGTTTAGAGGTATGGCGAAGTACCTAATTATTTCATGCAGGTGCAGTCACATCAAAGATAGATCCATTCTGACTGATGTTAGTGGTCTTACACCTTGTACACTGGCCTCATCATAAAATACCAACAGCAGTCACGTCCTAAATAAATACATTTTTTTGCATATTGTACATTTTTCTAAATATAAATTAACTATATCTTTTTTTTCTCTTTTTCTTTTCTCTATTTTATGTTCTGTCATTTATGTTTCTTTCCTGCATCAGTGAACAGGTGGAGGGTGAGTACGGAGCTGTAAGCCCTATGCACTTATAAGATTGCATTATGAGTTTGCATTATTCTTATGCATTCTAGATTTGTACCCAGGGAGACCTGTGGCTTTCCAACTGCTGCTGGAATGCAACACCCAGCATGAACTTTACCCAGCATGCACTTCTGCCATTCTATGGTTAAAGAGAGCCACAGATTTATTGAATAGCCTAAAATGAAAATGTTTTAATGATTGAATGCATGTCTTCAGGCATTTACCTATAAATAAACTGACATTTCAATATATTTTCGTCGGCTGGGATTTAATTGATATTCTATTTGGCTACAATGACATGTCTATGCTGTCTCTTCGATATAAAAAAGCAATAATCTGGAAATATTTGATATATGTCTATATGATGCACTTAAATAGGAATGCCTGCTAGATTTGGGTTTTATGAATGATAAACATTGCATATATACAGTATTTATAATTTTTATTTGCTACGTTAATGTTTCCCTTAGATAAGTCACCTATTTTTAACGCTCCTTCTCACTTTCTAGTGTCATTTTCCTCTATAACACCGTACTACAGTGTGAATATCCTCAAGCACCCCCACCTAACAGCAGCACATGTTTTATGGATATCCTAAAACGAGCACAGCCACAGCGCATCCTTTTTTACCCTGATGCTGAACTCAGCCATCCTGGCAATCTGCTATTTTGGGTCCCCATTATAATCTGCCTACTTAGAGATGGCGTATCGCTTCCACCCCATGTATTAATAGCCGAAGGAAAAATGAATTGCTGTAATGTTAATGTCAGCTGGATTCCGGTTGGTTACTGGGCAAAACCCTCTTCCATACAGCTATAGCAATAGGGGGATCAATGCTAGATAGATAGATAGATTTTGTACTAAAAGAAACCCCTGTGGCAACGCATCATATCCGATAACTAAAAAAAAAAAAGAAGCTTAATTGATCCACATAAAATCAATATTTTAGTTATAGAAATAACTATGACTTGAATGCTCCAACAGTGAGAACTCTCATAATTCCTTATTGTTCCTGTTGACCAAGCTCAGCTCCAGTATAATATGAGAGATATATAAAAAAAAGGTGGTTAAACTCTCCAGCATCTAGCACAAACGAAATATGCACATGTGTAAAGTTAAGGATAACCCTAAATCCTGTCCTGACAGTCATGTACTTACTCGACAGACTTTCTTTCGTACATATTCCTTTAGTGACCTATTCTTACACCCTTTCCTGTGCTTAAATAACATATTTCTCTACTTCCCTTATTAACGTGCGTTCTTCCATCTTCTGATCCCTGACATCCTTTCTCTTAGCAATGTCACCACTGTAACCCAAGGCCTATGTACTGCATTTATCTTGTACTCATCTGCATTCAGTTTCTGCACGGTCAATATTAAACAGTGACTGCTCCTTTTTCATCCTACTAACAGGATCTGCTATCACCTCCTGGACAGTTTATGCAATTGGTTCATTTTGAATGACATTGTATTTTATCTAGGACTTTATGGCAGCTGCCGACTCTTCTTGTATGGTGTATGTTTTAAATGTGTTACACTGTCAGAGACTGCTATGATGTTGTTCCGAGTATTATACATGTCTCTTGTTTGTACGTGTTGTACTATTCTTTTTTTTTGTAATTCTAAGAGGTGTTAAAGTGTGTGTATTGAAAGCCATCTATTGACCTCAAAATATTCAATACACTTTAATTCCCCTTATGAACCGAGAACCTTTTCTCTGGCATTTGAATTGTTTTGTAGATCAATGTGATGCATATCAATGTTCTGCAGGTTGTCTTTATGTTTTGTTCTGCTATTAAAGCAAGACTGAGGATTATCTCTTCAGCCACTTAAGCCACACAAATGTATTTTGTGAGGCTGCAGGTCTTATATACCCAGAGAAGAATCATAATGGATGATTATAGTACAACCCACCAGCCATACTGTTTGAATGTGTCTGGATGTAAGGTGAAAGTTTTGGGAATCGCAGTCTGTTTGTTGTCCCTTCGTCCTCGTTGATGTTACTGTTTTGTTCTCTTTTATGTCCACTCAACAGAAGAATACGAAGAAGGTAAAATGGGTCAACTTATTGTACTCTTCATCGCTGACCACCAGCCCATAACTCCATAACACTGCGGGACCGAATGGATCAGCGACATCTCACTAATGTTTATCACATTCTTTAACCATTTCTCTGCCAGACAAGTCCATCATAGCGCCAATTTGATGTTTCCATACACCATATGTGTTATGGTGCCAGTTTAACAATTACACATGCAGGCCTTCTTTTTAGTACGGCAGTGCAAAGGAGGTTGTGTGCACCGTGCAGCAACCAATCAGACTTTGCATAAGCTCTGACAGATAAATACTGATTGGCTGGTATGGATATTTGCACACAATGGCCATACAGTGTCAATATGTGCAATGGGCTGTGTCACTAAATATACTGTGTGTATATTTCTGCAGGGAAATGGGTTAACTCTTTCATATTTCTTCACTATTTTAACGTATATCTGTTGACCCTGTAATAGACTTTACATTTTTTTAGTCCACTTTTTGAATCTGCAGTGCCTCACCTTTTAATAGTCTCATTCCCACTCAAAGCGTGCTATTATAAAACGTGTGCACAATAATTTTCTATTTAATGCTCAACTGATAAATTACAGAAAAACTTTACGCCTAACTAAAGAAAATCTGGTTAATGACTCATGATTTTGATCTGGAACAATAACATTACTTGATGTAAGCCATTTTATCAAATGCATGACGAAATATTGTCAGTTGATGAGGTACCAGTAGTAAGAGCATAAAGTGCAGGTACTGGTCCTCTGTAGTTCAATGATGACAAAATAGTTTCCTTCAGCCTCCTAAATCAACATCTAATGTATGCTGGTGAATGGGAATGATGATTTACACAGCATGAATATTTGTTACAGTCACAGTTTTTTGCTTTAACACCATCACATGTTCCACAACTTTTAAATGTAGTTGAGTAGTTGTGAGAGTACCTGCATGTCACGTGTTGTTTGTATCCCAGTATCATAAATGAAAGTGACTAAAAGGATTGTCTCTGTTGCCAAAACAATTGGTCTCCCTCTTTGGTTTCTAACTATACTAGAAACATGAAGGTGAGATCGAGATTGGCTGGCAACTCAGACAGTTTCCATTTTAGAAAAATTCATTCATGATGACTACTGTCTCTGATGATTTTCAATGTGTTGGATGTAGTGATAGTAGTCCAGCTGCTTTGATGTAATCTTTTACAGGTTGTGTTTATTTACCTCCGTGTGGTACCGTGTGATTTCAGCAATCCTGTGCTCTGTAGGTCTCTGTTGACGGCTAACCTGTTTTGTTTGTCTATTTTTTTGCTTCTCCGCCCTGCTCTTGCCACATTGTCAAAATGTATGAACAGAGGAAGCCCAAGAAGGTATGTACTGCTATCTTGGACTAGTTTTTTAGCTGGGTCAATGTTTGGCTGGTGGGATATGTTGATGTTGTAGTCTACTGTTACAGAAAGAACAAAATATGTATCATGCTGGCCTCTAAATTGAGCCAGCTATCTATACACAGAGCAACTCAATCATACATGGGTTCAAGTGTTATTTATGTGAATTTTGCAAGTTATCATATCACTTCTTGCTTGGTAAATTGTGGAAGATACTATATCACTCTCATCTTAGTGAGGCCACCAGACTTTACTTATCAACGTGTCTGAAGCTAGAACTGCCTACAGCAACCGATCTGTTGCTTCTCCCCATTTAGTATGGATATTCCAGTTCTTGTTTTAAACTGTAAAAATATGTGTTGGCATCTTGTTGCAATACCAAAAGAGGTTTATTGGGGGTGGCAAGTTGCTTATTCAGTCAGTATATTTTAGTCCTGCTTTCACACTGATACCTACTCTAAAATCAATTAAATCTGAATTCTGATTGGTTTAATTGAGTAATAACAGTTTTAATGTAGTATAAAATGTTTATATGTTTCATAATTGTACTTTAATTTGGACCTTGGTTACGTACACATGGTTCAATGTGCATTTTTGCAACACACATTGATGAGCAGTATATGAATGCTGTGGTGTATGGTTATTTATTCTGAATCGCACATAGTTCACATATATATTGTAAGCAAATGGACTCCCACCGCAACTCTGCATTTTCTGCATCTCCATTTTTTTTCATGCAATGAGGCTCATTAAAACTCTGTCGGTAGAAAAACAACTTAGAAAAAATGTCTCTTTGTAACAAAAGCACTCACCTTTCCAGCACTGCTGATCTTTGCTCTCTTGAAGAGCTACAGTGGCTGAAGAATCTTAGGCATCTGATATACTTCATGGTGTTTCAGGTGCCGGCACGTTCCCCTGGGCACTGTGGTTTTATGTGCCAGCAACTACATCACTACTGTGTCCTGTATTGATGTAGGGGCCAGTGGATGAAACCACAGTGCATAGATGGAAATCAGTTGTCCAACACTCACCAAAGCATGGATTCTGAAGATTCTTTCTAGGCAGCGGGTCAGGTAGGTGTTAAGTCATAAGAAAGTCTTCTTTGTAAAGTCTTTATCCTAGCAATGGAGTCCCTTTAAGTGCTCATTCAAAGTGAATAAGCTGCCTTAACATAACATCAATGCATGAAAAAAATGTGTGGTAGCGTGTGATATGAGTAGAGCATTAAAAATAGAGATGAATACAAAATGTAATCAAGGTTGGCTGTAAATAGTTTTATTCAGTCATCACTAGAGTCCCAGACATAACACTACATATTACATTTTGCGCTATGTGCTGTGTACTTGTGTGTCAGTTAGTGCTATTTGTAGCAGGGGTAAACCTTGCGTCTTATCTGGTGTTTTTCTCTCCTCTCTAATTCCTATTCTTCTCCCCCTTAATTTTTTTATCATGCACAGTAGAAGAAGCCCACGAGGAAGGTATGTGGTCTGTTCATCATTCCCATAATCCAGGGTGAATTACCCAGGGATTAAGTTTCTTTTTAAGTTCAAAATCTGTAAACCAAAGGTGACCAAATGCAGGGTAACTGAATGCTTAGTCCCATGACTTGTCTACTCTGCAAAGCTTAATTACAAAGCATTATACACAGTCAGGTCACCCTAGTGCTTGATGCCTGCACTGATACCCTATTTCCTAGGGTCAGAAAAGATCAGATAATTTGACAGTTGGGTTGTGCTTGCTGGCATCCATATGAAAACAGATGCATGGGGCACGCTATGGCATTGACACCAAGTGATGGACATGATTTTTGTGTTTTGTATTGCTGAGACAGTGGCATTTACTATTGTTAAACATCCACAATGCTTTCATGCTCTGTGGCCTAGCCAAGAGATGTTTACTACTGATTTAAGTGCCAGATACTTTACTGGTACTACATGCAACTGATACCATTTACCAAACCTCATTTCTATAACTCCAGCATGAACATTTACAATCTGCACCATAGGTATTGCTCTATTGTTAAAAGCATTGTTCTGTTGTTGCTAAATTGTGTTTCCACAAAGTTTGGTCAGTTGTGTACCACTATTGCAAACTTTGCAGTGTCCAAACATAACCTGTACTAATCACAGTAGAAACAAATAAGCTTCTACCCCTATGTAGCTATTATGGCAGTACCTGGAATATCATGGCTATGAATGTGTCCATAAAAGGTTACAATCCTTCCTGCATCTCTGCAGATTCTTGCCTCATTCTCATCCCCCAATGGTTGATGCCCTAGTCTTCAAAAGTGTTAATTTCCAATTAGGTTGTTGCCCTTATCAAAACTACTCTAGAACCAATGGAAACCTAATAATAAAGTCCACTGGTTAAAGCTGAATTCCCATTTCCCAGACATTTTTAGAAATGTTAACTCCTGTTAACATGCAATTAGAGTCGCAAAGTGAAGCATGTTCTCTCTACAGAAAGTCTTCCTTGATGCAACATTGCCAGCTTAAAATGTCTTTGCTGCTGGTCTTGGGTACATAACTGCAGTGTAGTATTGTAAGCAGTGTTGGGTGACCAGCTGTGCTGTACCAGTGCTACACTATTGAGAGGTTACCAGGTTTAAATGCATAAACAGCTTACAGACTGTTACAGTGCTTCCAGCAGAACATTCCTAATCCTAACCCTAAGGAGCAATCCAGATAAACATGGCCAGTCCTTTCCAACAATAAAAAAGCCTGGACTTCAGCTTTAAATCAGTAGGCTATCTCTAGAACCTACAAAAGAAAATTAACACTAGAGCAAATATTTCCACACATTATTATCTTAAATCTAAACTTTTGCCATATGCCATGTAGAGTAAAGATGGCCATGTTAGCAACCCCCAGTGGTTCCTTTCCAAACTTTGGGAAACACTGCTGTACAGAATTGACCGTGCATCTTCTTATCATTTACTGTTATGCTTTGCTTTCATGTCCTCCTTTTTTTATTCTTTGCTTGCTGCTATTGTTTCCTTCAACCCTATCCTTACCTCACTGGCTATTGCGTGACTGCTTAAATTATAATCGCCCTGCCTCTGCCATTTGTGTCTGAAGAAGAAGAGCCTGAACAAGTTGAGGAGGAGACAGTCCAAGAGGAGCAAGGAGATGAGGGGGCTGAGGAGGAAGGTAAGATGAGTAACCAACCTTCCTCAGAGGACACTATTATATATCTGGCCTCTGCTAGTGGCTCTTGATCCCAATCCATCTATCTGAATGTGTGGATGATGCACAGAAGAGAAACTCCTGAAACTATGCTACCTTTTTCCCTTTGTACAAGCAACTCTAAAGCACTGGGTAAAAGATACATCCTGATTCTACTTACACAGCAACTATGACTGCAAGTACAACATCAAGATTGACAGTCTGATCCAATGACAAGACTTGCCATGCCTCTGCTTGCTTGAATGCTATTTCTGCATGGCAACTGCATTTGTCACACTGGAACAATGGGAAAAAACAGAATAGTTTCTCAGATATAAAACAAAACCTCACTACAGCAGGCTTTATTTCCTAACATTGTGCAAAGAGATGTGATGTAGAGCGAGTCCCTAGCAAACAATCAGAAATCAGCTTTCATTAGACTGCTCTATGCTGTCTGTTGAAAAGTGACTTTTGATTGGTTGGTATAGGTTTCTAAACATCCCTACTCTTTGTAATGAATTACTAAATAAAGCCTAATATTTGAAAGCATTGTAGCCTGACAAACATAGGAAATAGGTACTATGAACAGCTCACAACATGCATAGTTTTGTTCTTTAATTAAGAGGTTTGCAGAGTTAACTGAAATTGTAAGATGAATCATGTTAATACAGAATCCTTACCCCCAGGAACAGTGTGATCCGATCGGGAGTTCTGTGCATGAGATGCCTGTTGTTCTGAAATAACTGATTGGTTGACTGGATCATACCATCTTAACCTGATTTCCCATCTAGGAAAGAAGCTGTGAGCTAACAATCTCTTTTCATTTACAGAACACGGTGAAGAATACGATGGTATTTCCTTACATTTTTTTTTTCTTCTCGGTGGTTTTGATCTTTTTCCCATTTACTAGTTTGTTGGCTAGGCTGGGCCAAAAACCATATAAGCAAGAGCAGGGAAACATTTTTCAATTGCCTCATCGAAAATGTTTTACTTTTACAGAGAAATAGACAGCAGTCAATAACTAGTCCAAGCATGTGTAGCACATACACAGAGTTTGTCTCTACTGTACAGACCTTGATAGGCTTTATAAGAAATATGAGCAATTACTCCAAGGTACCATATCAAGCCTAGCATGGCTATACAGTTACTGACCCCTCTTCAGAAAAATGCAGATATATATTCATTTGTATTTTAAAATCTTGATGACCAATATTTATTGATATATTTATATATTTACTAGCTTTAATGATAAAGGCAATTCATATAAATGCCCAGCATCTACACGGACCCATACTGTATATATATTAGAGATAATTATATTTGGCCCAGCCTGCTTTCCTTTTTGCCTTATTGACTAAAAACTTTTCCCTATTTCCCTTCCTATGTGTGAATGGATTACTGGAGAGATCTGCACATCACTGACTTGTTTTTCCTTTTCCCCTCTGACAACAGTCCGACTACCCATGTCTTTACCCACAGCCTAATTTCCTACATCTCCTGGACCTGCAGCCTAATCTAATCTCCTGCACTTTTTCCATTCACATTTTGTCTAATACACCAAAAGATGCAGAATAGTACAGAAGGTGCATCATTTTACAGAACCATATGCGTAGCTTTAAAAAAAAAATTATAATAATTATCTATACAGTATATATACACACACACACACACATTTAAAAAGATAACATTATTTTCAGTATATGTATGTCGATTAAAATGTAAGACTACCAATGAGCTTCCATTTAGGTTCATGACTCTCATTCCCCTGTAAACTTTTATGTGTTACCTATTTACATTCTCTGAAGCTATGTTCTAAACACCCAGCTAGAATTTTACTTCCCGTGTTTGGATATGATTTTTTCTCTCGTCTACCTAAAGGTCAATCTGTCTCAGTTCAAACTATCTACAGAAAGCTTTTTCCATACAGTCACACCCATAGAACAGCCACATATATATATATATGAACTTTTACCTTCCTCTCTCTTTACATCTTTACTTTTTCTTTTATCTTCACCTTCAGTGTATTGCATTTACACCTTCCCGATATCTCATATATCCATAGTGTTATCTTCTCATCTCTCTGCAGCTATACTTTGCTTTCTACCTGGATTTTCACTTTCCTATCTACCCTTTCCATTGTTTAAAGTTACACTTTCTTCTTTGTATGCAGCTATACTTTCCCTTCTTTCAATATTTTCAGTTTCTCAACTAGCTTTACCGCCACTTTTCTTTCTATCTTCACCTGTCTTTAGCTTCACTTTCTCTTCTGGCTGCAGCTTCACTTTTTGTTTCTGTCACTTTTTTTTCACATTCCTCTCTACCTATAACTTCACTTCACAAGTCTAAAGCATTTCTTTCTCATCTGTCTATACTTTTCACTTTTCTGCTATTCTATTTACATCTATACTTCCTCTCCTGTCTTCATCTTCTCTTGCTCTTCTGTCTGTCGCTTCACCTTCTTATATCTTTTATCCAAAGCTGTATCTCATCTCATCTCATCTGTCACCTACAGTTTCACTTTACCATCTCTTATCCTCTGTTCATTATTTACCTACATCTGCCTACAGATACCATTTCCTGGCTATCTACAGTACAGCTTTCCTATCTGCATGTATCCTCTGTGTACTATCTACCTGCATCCACCTACAGATACCATTTGCTGGCTACCTGCAGCTTCACTTTTCCATCTATTTCCTCAAGCTATCCACAGCTTCTCTCTCTACAATTTTACTTTCCTATCCATCCATAACTTGACTTCCAGAATTATATTCAACTTACCATTTCATGTACATTGTTCTACCTCTTCTGTCTACAATGATCTTTATAACATATCCACAACTGTCTTCTCCTTCTAAACAGCACATTACATCTATCTACAGCTTTAGCTGCCAGTCTTTAGCTTCACTTTATCATCTTCTTAAAAAAAAAGTACATTTCCATCTCTTTGCAGCTTTTTTTTCCTCCCTTTTACTTACCTGGAATGTCTTTCTCATATACGTACAGCTTTCTTACCTTATCTCTCTACAGCTTTTCTTTCCCTTTTACTTACCTGTTCATATCTTTATTCTTCTATCTATCTACATTAGGGATGTCCAAACTCCGGCCCTCCAGCTGTGGTGAAACTACAAATCCTTTGAAGCATCGCTCTCTGGGAGTCATGTCTGTGGCTGTGAGAATCTTGCAAAGCCTCATGGGATTCGTATTTCTACCACAGCTGGAGGGCCGCAGTTTGGACATCCCTGATCTACATCTTCAGTGTCAGCTATTTATCAACAGCTTTACTTGTCATGCCCATGTCTAAAAGTCTTGCTGCT